CAAGGTGAAAAACACTAGCCAAAACATACGACTTCCCTCCGCGGTGATCTTGATAATCGAACCCTAATTTGAGAAGAAAAAACCAACCATTCTTCGAGTCAAGCAACTTGTATTGCACATCATACATAAAAGGTGGGTTACGAGATGAAATCGCACCAAGATCTTCGACTGCCCTCCCAACCACTCCCAAATTTGAAATGAGATTGAGAGTTTCTAAAGGGAATTTATAAGTATGATCAATCAATGGAGAGTCAAATATCATCATGCTGGCATCACTGAAGGAAATTCCTCTACATGGTAACATAAGGAAAACAACAAGTAAGAAGTTTCAGTGGATTTACTACCACCAATAGCAAATAGTGAGTAGTGCAGGTCCATAACACCAAATACTTGCACATCTCCGATAATCTCTTCATCATCAAATAATTTTGCATCTAACTTCTTGTGAGGCGGCCAGGGATTGACTTCATGAAACGATACCTTATCCACATGTTTTTTGACAAGGTGAAAAACACTAGCCAAAACTTACGACTTCCCTCCGCGGTGATCTTGATCATCGAACCCTAATTTGAGAAGAAAAAACCAACCATTCTTCGAGTCAAGCAACTTGTATTGCACATCATACATCAAAGATGGGTTACGAGATGAAATCGCACCAAGATCTTCGACTACCTTCCCAACCAATCCCAAATTTGAAATGAGATTGAGAGTTTCTAAAAGGGATTTATAAGTATGATCAATCGATGGAGACTCAAATATCATCATGTTGGCACCACTGAAGGGAATTCCTCTACAGGGTAACATAAGAAAAACAAGAAGTAAGTAAGAAGTTTCAGTGGATTTACTACCACCAATAGAAAATAGTGAGTAATGCAGGTCCACATTACCAAATACTTGCACATCTCCAATAATCTCTTCATCATCAAATAATTTTGCATCTAACTTCTTGTGAGGCGGCCAGGGATTGACTTCACGAAACGATACCTTATCCACATGTTTTTTGACAAGGTGAAAAACGCTAGCCAAAACATACAACTTCCCTCTGCGGTGATCTTGATCATCGAACCCTAATTTGAGAATTCGAGTCAAGCTACTTGTATTGCACATCATATATCAAAGGTCGGTTACGAGATGAAATTGCACCAAGATCTTCGACTGCCCTCCCAACCAATCCCAAATTTGAAATGAGATCGAGAGTTTCTAATGGGGATTTAAAAGTATGATCAATCAATAGGGAGTCAAATATCATTATGCTGGCACCACTGAAGGGAAAAACGTAAAATGATCAACAAGTAATATTTTTATTTTCTGATTATGGGTGATGGGGCCTGTATATAGATCACTTTGGCCATTTTGATATCTTAATATGGGTGAATGGGACCTGTATGGATTCATAATATGTCTTTTAAACAAATTTTTAGTTCATGTATCCAAGGTGGTCTCTATTACAGTAAAAATCCATCAGGTTCCAGTTGAATCAAAAAGTATTGGTGAAGAAATTGGAAAGACCACATCTCTATCTGCAGGAGTATGTTTAATAATATGAGATGCAAACATTCCTTTACAGCCAACTATGGAGACTATTGCAAAAGATTCTGGCCTACACAATCCTCAACTTGGAAGCAAATTAAATTTGCTATTAAAAATCATCTCAATTTCAATTCAAACCTGCATGTTAATAAAAAAAAAAATCAAATCTGAACAATCTACTAATTAATTGAGACCAGTTCTTTGAAATTTTGAAAAGAATATCAAGCAATGTAGTTTCCTTCAAAGTAGCACCAAGGAATCTTATTTTAGGCAAATAAAATAAATTGAGTATCGAAAAAGAATTGACCCATAAACACACAGACCCATAAACACACACACACACACAACGCACACAAACCCACAACACATACACACACCAGATCCACATATACACGCACACGTAAACACACCAACGCACACACACAGACCTAATAACACAAATCTAGAAACCCTAATTAACACCCAACGCAAACACCCAACGCAAATATATTTATACATCTGTATATATGTGCATATTGATACCCAGATCTATGTATATATGTATATACATACAAATCTATATTTATATGTCTATATATACATATCTAAGTATAAGTATAATGTACAGAGATGTAGATTTTACCTTGGAGAGAGAAAGTTTTGGAGAGATTGAGTCTTGAGAGAGAGCGCTTCGGAAAGGTCGAGTCTATCGAACAAATAGAGCTTTGGAGAGATTGATGAAGAGGAGAGCAGATCTTTCCTTCAAGGAATCTCTGGCCGTTTGGCTTCTTCGTGAGAGAGAGAGAGAGAGAGAGAGAGAGAGAGAGAGGAGACCAGATAAGAATCTCATGCTGATTGATCGGGGTTTTTTTTTCCAGATGGATTGGACCTTTACCGAGTGGATTGAGAATGAAGAATACCATGTTGGATTTAGTAATGCCTAATCTCATAATTTGTGGGATTAGGTATCCCTTTAGAATGAGAATGGATTTTAAATCATGCAAACCAAATATTGGAATAGGATTCCCACAAAATGCTCATTGCATTTCTAAGGCTTAATACCATGTACCAAACATAACATTAGAATTTTTTTAGTAAGCAATTATGTAAGAAACATCAAATCTTACTAGATTATTAAAGGAAAATTAATTTTTAATGTACAATTTAGTGCATAAGAATTAGGAGATTTAGACACATAAGTAGTGGTGTCAAAATATGACAAGACTTGTTAACACGGTAAGAACAAGATATAAAGTTAGAGGGTTTAAGTCTTTTTTAAGCCACTTATTTCGTAAACGAATATATCCAATACAACACGATTAATAAACGAATCGGGTGTGGGTGAAACCAATAAAAACAAAATACGATACAACTTGTTTATGTACTGATTATATACAATTGTTACACGATACGAACCCGATATGACACGGCTATTTAGACACGAATTCATAAACAAACTAGGTATGATGAAATATTTTTTTACACGAACTCATTTCACTCAATATGACTNGGTGAAACCAATAAAAACAAAATACGATACAACTTGTTTATGTACTGATTATATACAATTGTTACACGACACGAACCCGATATGACACGGCTATTTAGACACGAATTCATAAACAAACTAGGTATGATGAAATATTTTTTTACACGAACTCATTTCACTCAATATGACTAACAGGCCTATCCATAAGCACTTTATCCTTGATTTTTTTTTAAATAATTTTTTGGCACATTTGTTTTAATTTATGTAAATAAAAATTCTATTTAAAACATGGAAATGAAAGAGGGGAAAATAGTTTAATTTACTGTAAGGACAGAACACAAAACAAAGGAAATATATATATAAAGGTATAAAAGTAATTTGGCATTAATTTTCTTAATCACAAATATTAAATCTTGACATGTAATGATTAATTTTAATATAATTTTTAAAGATTTCATCATCATCCAAAAGTACAAGAGAAAAAAAAAGCAATACTATTTGAATCTAAAAATCTGATTTGATTTGCTAACCTCATTTTACCATGACCTTTTGATTGACTATGAATCCCATAAAACATTGAAGCTTACTCTTGATCCAATGATTTAAATGAAACTACATCATCAAGTCAGATTTTTAAGTNTGATTAATTTTAATATAATTTTTAAAGATTTCATCATCATCCAAAAGTACAAGAGAAAAAAAAAACAATACTATTTGAATCTAAAAATCTGATTTGATTTGCTAACCTCATTTACCATGACCTTTTGATTGACTATGAATCCCATAAAACATTGAAACTTACTCTTGATCCAATGATTTAAATGAAACTACATCATCAAGTCAGATTTTTAAGTTTAAATAATATTATTCAGAGAAAGAAAGTACTTAATTAGAACCTTGTCATGCATCTCCAAAAAAATTTTGTTTCATCAGCAAGACTTTTTGCTTAGGCAAAGAGGGCCTGGCAAAAAATGTCCCATATCAAAAAGTTAATTTCAGCCAATTGTCGAAACAAAACGTTTTAGCAAACTATGGTTGAACATTTTTTCCCCATATTGCACCTAGCCTGCACAATTCAATGGGATCATATCATATATCCTTATCAATAATCGTATTTTCTATTAGATCACAAGCAAACGTTTATTGACGATTATCACATGACTTTTATGTAAAGATAGATCTTCAATGAAAAATTTCAAACCTCTTAAATTGATTCTCTCATAATTTATTTTTGTTGATTACTAAATTTGAAAGAAGAATAGAATCCAATCCTCAAAAGTAAATGACAAAACAAAGTAGAATATAACCCAAAAGGAAAGACACAAGTTACGAATCCTTCCTTTTGCTAAGGATAGACTCCTTGCAGAACCTCGATGTAAACAAGGGTGATCAACTAGACTAAACCCAGTTTATTTCGAGAGTATATGTTTGGTCCTCTTGAAATTAATGCATCTAATTTACCAATTTAATGCATTTTTTATAAACAAAATTTAAGCTAAATTGACACTTTTTTTGGGCTCATGTAAAAGGGGGGAGGGGTGATTAGTAGATAGTAAATCTCCCTGGGTGTGACAATTTGGGTTTATATCACTGTGGAATGTTTGGTTTGAGTCATAATTACTAACACGGAAGGACAGTTCATCGTCACAGCACCATCAAAAGCAAGCAGCAAACCGCGTTGCTCCTGTAAATCAAACCTTCCTTGATAACAATATAGAAGTCAACGACGACCCGAAAACGGGTATAACTTACCACTAGACTACGAACTCGAGTGGTGCTAAATTGACACTTGAGTGTGATGACTAATGAGAATTATAGGAAACTGCACATTTTGGGGTTGCAAATATACATTTTCACACCACCCAAGTCTAATTAGACAGTAATACGGCCAATTAATATCATGAACTTCTATACATATAAGTAAACATATGGACATAAATAGATCATATTGTCTCATACATAATTTATTTTTTTTTAAATTTAAAACATGATCTAAAAATTGTCACAAGGAGGACAATAAACTGTCCAAATAATCACTTCCAAGATCCTGAAACTCCAGTGTATCAAAGCCAATCCCAAATGTTTCTTCCAATCTAACTATTCTCTTCGACCTCCGCTCGATTGTAACAGATCGAACTGGAGTTGAAATTGAGCTCAATTTTACAAACAAGTCTTCGGTTTCTGCCTGCTCGCTCAATTTTCTTTTCCAGGAGTTAGCATTTATGTCCCCCCAACCAAGAAATGTGCCAGCTGAATCATCTGTTGGTTGAGAAGTAATTGTTGAAGGATTCAACAAATTTTCTGAATGGATAATTCCCATGGCTTTAGCAACTGTCTCAATTGGAAAGTTAAGATATGCCTTATAAGGGCCTCTAATTCTTAATGAAGCCTTGTCATAAGCCAAAGCAGCTTCCTCGGCTGTGTCAAAAGTCCCAAGCCAAACTCTAGCTCCTTTCCTTGACGAATCCCTTATTTCTGCTGCATACTTGCCCCATGGCCTCTTTCTCACTCCTCTATAGTGTCTTGTGACCATCTTCTGATCAACTTTCATACCATTCGTGTCGGTAACAACCTGTATTGGCGTGTGTTGAGTATCACATTTAACAAGTATCTCCTCGGATAGCGTGTTACTACTTCCTGAATAAAGATCATGAAACGGTGCGGTCTCAGTATTGGATGAAGGAATAATACCATCAAGAAGTTCCTCCCATGTCTCAGCGCCCATTGATATCCATCTACCTAGACTTGGTAGTCTTTGAAGAACTTCCATTGACCCTTCTCCACCATTAAGGCTAGGAAGTCCTTCCCATGTTTTCGACGATTCAGGTGTAGTTTCACCTTGCTTGACAACATCATCTTTGGCTATAAAATTAGCCCACACATTCTCTAGTATTGCTTCAGATTCTGCAGGCTCTTCCATTTCAACAGCCATCGACAGTTCAAATCAGGAGAATTGGGAGAATATTGGAATTGCAATAGAAGCAATTTAAATGAACTATAATTTCTCATCTATGCTTTATCCTTGTTGGTCATGAATGGGAGTCCAGTAGGAAACTTGTGCTCCAAACAACTGACTGCTTAATTCAAGGAGGATTTTGGGATTTAGACGCTACGGAAAGTGGTGGGGGTTTTTTTTTAGGATTAATATCACTTTTAGTCCCTTAAATATGTCCGTTTTGTCAGTTTAGTCCCCATTGTATTAATTTTGTCAATTTTGTCACTAAATGTTCAATTCGTATCACTTTTGTCCCTAGTCAGACAATTTATAAAGTTTTTTATGGAAGTAACTACGTGTCATTCTTTTAGACGGTATCATGTGTCTAATAAGTGATCATTCTGTTAAAAACTTAACTATTCATTTATGTAAGAACCATTTAAATACAAATTAAATATTTTAAGAACTAAATTGAAAAAATTAAAACTTTAGCAACCAAACTGACAAAATGTGCATACTTTAAGGACTAAAAGTACTATTTATCTTCTTCTTCTTTTTAATGGTGCTTTGTTGAAATTTTGATTGTCCTAATAATTTATAGGAATTATTTTATTCAGAAGCTATGCTTTTTAAATTATATTTTATAGGAATTTCTTCTTGCACTTAATGGAATGAGATATGAAACCGAAAAGCAATGAACTTGATTACTTAAAAAGAGAATTAGTTGAGTTCTGAATTTTATTTTGCACTGGTCCCTGTAATTTGGCAAATTTTTGTTTCTCCTTATGAGTTTGAACTTACTTCATAAAAGTTAAATAAAAACGGAATCGTAATGGGTGCGGAAAACTCTTGATTATAGTGGTCTGGACNTCTATTAGATCACAAGCAAACGTTTATTGACGATTATCACATGACTTTTATGTAAAGATAGATCTTCAATGAAAAATTTCAAACCTCTTAAATTGATTCTCTCATAATTTATTTTTGTTGATTACTAAATTTGAAAGAAGAATAGAATCCAATCCTCAAAAGTAAATGACAAAACAAAGTAGAATATAACCCAAAAGGAAAGACACAAGTTACGAATCCTTCCTTTTGCTAAGGATAGACTCCTTGCAGAACCTCGATGTAAACAAGGGTGATCAACTAGACTAAACCCAGTTTATTTCGAGAGTATATGTTTGGTCCTCTTGAAATTAATGCATCTAATTTACCAATTTAATGCATTTTTTATAAACAAAATTTAAGCTAAATTGACACTTTTTTTGGGCTCATGTAAAAGGGGGGAGGGTTGATCAGTAGATAGTAAATCTCACTGGGTGTGACAATTTGGGTTTATGTCACTGTGGAATGTTTGGTTTGAGTCATAATTACTAACACGGAAGGACAGTCCATCATCACAGCACCATCAAAAGCAAGCAGCAAACCGCGTTGCTCCTGTAAATCAAACATTCCTTGATAACAATATAGAAGTCAACGACGACCCGAAAACGGGTATAACTTACCACTAGACTACGAACTCGAGTGGTGCTAAATTGACACTTGAGTGTGATGACTAATGAGAATTATAGGAAACTGCACATTTTGGGGTTGCAAATATACATTTTCACACCACCCAAGTCTAATTAGACAGTAATACGGCCAATTAATATCATGAACTTCTATACATATAAGTAAACATATGGACATAAATAGATCATATTGTCTCATACATAATTTATTTTTTTTTAAATTTAAAACATGATCTAAAAATTGTCACAAGGAGGACAATAAACTGTCCAAATAATCACTTCCAAGATCCTGAAACTCCAGTGTATCAAAGCCAATCCCAAATGTTTCTTCCAATCTAACTATTCTCTTCGACCTCCGCTCGATTGTAACAGATCGAACTGGAGTTGAAATTGAGCTCAATTTTACAAACAAGTCTTCGGTTTCTGCCTGCTCGCTCAATTTTCTTTTCCAGGAGTTAGCATTTATGTCCCCCCAACCAAGAAATGTGCCAGCTGAATCATCTGTTGGTTGAGAAGTAATTGTTGAAGGATTCAACAAATTTTCTGAATGGATAATTCCCATGGCTTTAGCAACTGTCTCAATTGGAAAGTTAAGATATGCCTTATAAGGGCCTCTAATTCTTAATGAAGCCTTGTCATAAGCCAAAGCAGCTTCCTCGGCTGTGTCAAAAGTCCCAAGCCAAACTCTAGCTCCTTTCCTTGACGAATCCCTTATTTCTGCTGCATACTTGCCCCATGGCCTCTTTCTCACTCCTCTATAGTGTCTTGTGACCATCTTCTGATCAACTTTCATACCATTCGTGTCGGTAACAACCTGTATTGGCGTGTGTTGAGTATCACATTTAACAAGTATCTCCTCGGATAGCGTGTTACTACTTCCTGAATAAAGATCATGAAACGGTGCGGTCTCAGTATTGGATGAAGGAATAATACCATCAAGAAGTTCCTCCCATGTCTCAGCGCCCATTGATATCCATCTACCTAGACTTGGTAGTCTTTGAAGAACTTCCATTGACCCTTCTCCACCATTAAGGCTAGGAAGTCCTTCCCATGTTTTCGACGATTCAGGTGTAGTTTCACCTTGCTTGACAACATCATCTTTGGCTATAAAATTAGCCCACACATTCTCTAGTATTGCTTCAGATTCTGCAGGCTCTTCCATTTCAACAGCCATCGACAGTTCAAATCAGGAGAATTGGGAGAATATTGGAATTGCAATAGAAGCAATTTAAATGAACTATAATTTCTCATCTATGCTTTATCCTTGTTGGTCATGAATGGGAGTCCAGTAGGAAACTTGTGCTCCAAACAACTGACTGCTTAATTCAAGGAGGATTTTGGGATTTAGACGCTACGGAAAGTGGTGGGGGTTTTTTTTTAGGATTAATATCACTTTTGGTCCCTTAAATATGTCTGTTTTGTCAGTTTAGTCCCCATTGTATTAATTTTGTCAATTTTGTCACTAAATTTTTAATTCGTATCACTTTTGTCCCTAATCAGACAATTTATAAAGTTTTTTATGGAAGTAACTACGTGTCATTCTTTTAGACGGTATCATGTGTCTAATAAGTGATCATTCTGTTAAAAACTTAACTATTCATTTATGTAAGAACCATTTAAATACAAATTAAATATTTTAAGAACTAAATTGAAAAAATTAAAACTTTAGCAACCAAACTGACAAAATGTGCATACTTTAAGGACTAAAAGTACTATTTATCTTCTTCTTTTTTTTAATGGTGCTTTGTTGAAATTTTGATTGTCCTAATAATTTATAGGAATTATTTTATTCAGAAGCTATGCTTTTTAAATTATATTTTATNCAAATATTAAATAATTAAACATATGATAGAAATTAGTGATGTGATGATTTTGGGGGAAATTATGTGTGAGATAAAATTTTCAAATACTCAAGAATGACAATTTTTAAGTTGCACTATAAACAACNCGAACTTGATTACTTAAAAAGAGAATTAGTTGAGTTCTGAATTTTATTTTGCACTGGTCCCTGTAATTTGGCAAATTTTCGTTTCTCCTTATGAGTTTGAACTTACTTCATAAAAGTTAAATAAAAACGGAATCGTAATGGGTGCGGAAAACTCTTGATTATAGTGGTCTGGACTATCCGGATTTTTTTGACCCAAAATTTGGGATCCAAGATTCACAAATCTTTCACTTTGATTGAAGTACACCCTTTTTGGGAGTGATAGTGAATTATTGGCTTATTTGTTTTCTGGTCTTCCGTTGTGTGTATTCAGATGTTGGGTAAATGCGTAATTGCATGTATGTATGTGCATATTTCAGCAAAGAGTTCTCTTCAGTCTTAACTATTGATATGGATATTGTGTTTTAATGAAGGCTCAAATTGAAACAATCTAGGATTATCGGGGGCGTAGAGGAAATAACATAGAAAATAGGGGTATGCCTGCAAAACCAATTTGACCTAAACCACGTTGCTGCATCATCAAGATTCTTGGTTGTGTACTTCTTAAAAAGAGGAGAAGGGATGTTTGAATACTCTCATTTCTTCAGAGATACTTCTCTTCTTCTTCCAACATGGGCATATCCATGGGCTAGTACCCCTGGTTTTGGAAAATTAAAAATGCACCGTCATATTACGAACATTATTCACGACCGATGATAATTAGTCTTACTTATAATATAGTAGACATGCATTAACATCACACTACGGTGACCTATTAACTTTTCATGATCAATGTACCTAAAAGGACAGGACAACAGTTTTCTCCGCAAACGGAAGGAGTATTTAAAACACTCAAATCCATAACATTCAAGTTATAATAGAGTAATTTTACTACTATGGTTTTTTTACCAATACGCCTACTCGTACTTATTGTTTACAGATTGTCTTGGGCATTAGACTAGAACATAAACTAGTGGCAAACGTCGAAGTTAACCTCAAACAATACCAAAATTTGTGGCCATTTCTATTAGACATATCCATCAATATCCAATTAGAGATACGATAGGATCTGAAGAAATCCATCAATATCTAAGTTTATTTGGATAAATAGAGACGATGATAGATATAAGTAATTTATCTATAAATAGGGTTGAGCCTCGTGTAATCAATCACCTTCAATAATATATCAAATGTAGCCTATAGGGTGTTGGGTCCGTATGTGGATGTAGATAGTGTATCGAACCACGTATTTCTTCATGTCCTACTTTTCTATCATTCTTCTATCATCAATTTCTCTTATATTCTAAGTTTCTACAATTTCTTAGTACTTAAAGAAAAAAAGATGCAAGCTATTTCTTGAAAACTACCTTCCCTCAACGTTTCTTTATGTACCTTATCTCAGTTTTTTATGTATAAATTATGCCTCTTTGGCTAAAAATGAGAGGATTACATGCTTGATAGGGAAGCAAAAAACAGAAACTACACAACTGCGGCTCTGAGGATTCAATGTATATATCTGCCAGTGAAAACGTAGGCAAATGGTGTGAGAAACCGNTTCGCAG